AAGATTATAAACAAAACATACTAAAATTTAACAACTAAAATTAAAGAAATAAAATTAAAAATTGCAAGAAAACAATTCTATTCTAAACTACTCTACTGGTACTTGTATCCCAATTTATAGAGGGTCTGATAAATGAACAATTTCCTTCTCCCTCTGGATGTCTCTTTCAAGATAAATTTTAAGGTTTTGTCCATTAACTTTGAACACTCTGTCAGAAGAAGGATCCTGAATTTTAATTACTCCAACAGGAGAGACCTCCTTAATTACAAATGGGCCAAACCATTTTGACTTTAGTTTGCCTGGAAACAACCTCAGGCTAGAATTGAATAGTAAAACTTGTTGTCCAGGTTGAAAAATTCTATGTTTGATTGCCTTGTCATGATAGGTCTTTGCTCTCAACTTGTAGATTGCAGCATTTTTATAGGCCAAATTCCTCCATTCCTCCAACTCAGTGAGCTGGAATTTCCTTTGTTCTTGTAATACTTTCTCATTTAAATTCAAATACTTGATTGCCCAATGTGCCTTGTGCTCCAATTCCAATGGAAGGTGACAAGCTTTTCCATATACCAGCTGATATGGGGTCATGCCAATGGAGCTCTTGTAAGCTGTCCGATAGGCCCGCAAAGCACCAATCTCTTATGGTGTTGCCCACTGTTTTCTCCAATATTCTTTTAATCTCTCTATTAGTCACCTCAACCTGCCCATTTGTTTATGGGTGATAAGGTGTTGCCACCTTATGCTTGACATTGTACTTGTTGAGGAGAGATTGAAGCTACTGGTTGCAAAAATGAGTGTCACCATCACTGATTATAATCCTTGGCACCCCAAACCTCACAAAAATATTCCTCTTTAAGAACTTAATCACAGTCTGGCATTGTTTAGGGGTGCTACAACTGCTTTAGCCCACTTTGACACATAATCAATTGCTACCAAAATGTATTTATTTTAGAATGACTATGGGAATGGTCCCATTAAGTCTATGTCCCAACAGTCAAATACTTCAACTTCTGGTATGTTGTTTAGTGACAATTCATTCTTCTTAGTAATGTTTCCTATCCTCTGACATTTATCATAGCTTCTTGTATAGGCAAAGGAATCTTGAAGATTGTTGGCCAGAAAAATTCACTTTGTAACACCTTTGCAGTCGTCCTATCCCCATTATAATGTCCTCCATAAGGAGAATTATGGCAATGCCATAAAATGCTCTGAACTTCATATTGTGGCACATATCTTCTAACTATTTCATCCATCCCAATTCTGAACAAAAAAAGGGGTCATCCCTTATGTACTGATTTGAGTCTTTAAAAAATTTCTTCCTCTGTTGCCATGTCAGATTCTCTGGGATGATATTGGAGGCTTTAAAATTTTCCATGTCAGCAAACTATGACCTTTCAATGACAGCTAACAATTGTTCATCAAGAAAATTTTCTTGTATCTCCTCTGCTGCACATGATGATGACATTCCTTCTAGCCTAGACAAATGGTCTACAATGACATTGTCCTTTCCCTTTTTGTCATAAATTTTCAGATCAAATTATTGCAACAATAATACTCAACGAATTAGTCTTGGTTTCGACTCTTTCTTGAAAAATAAAAATTTTAGAGCACCATGATCTGTGTGAATAATTACTTTGGATCCTATAAGATATGATCTGAATTTTTCCAAAGCAAAAAACAACTGCAAGTAATTCTTTTTCTGTGGTGGCATAATGTTTTTATGCCTCATTTAAAATCTTATTTACATAATAAATTGTGTGAAAAACTCTGCCTATTTTCTGTCCTAAAACTGCTCCTACAGCAAAGTCACTAGCATCACACATAACTTCAAGTGGAAGATTCCAATTTAGTGCAATGATAACAGGTGCAGTGATCAGTTTCCTTTTAATAACATTAAAGGCATGCAGGCAATTTTCATCAAAAATAAAGAGAATGTCTTTGTTCAAAAGTGAGTAGAGAGGTTTAACAATCTTTGAAAAATCTTGACTAAATTTGCGATAAAAACCAGCGTGGCCTAGGAAACTCCTTATTCCTCTAACATTGGTTGGTGGTGGGAGATTTTTTATGACTCCCACCTTTGCTTTATCTACCTCTATACCCTTGGCAGATATCTTATGTCCCAATACAATACCTTCTTGGACCATGAAGTGGCATTTTTCCCAGTTGAGAACTAGGCTGGTCTCTATGCATCTCTACAACACACAAGATAAATTTGTCAAATAAAGATCAAATGAATGCCCAAAAACAGAAAAGTCATCCATGAAAATTTTTATAAACTTCTCTATCATATCAGAAAAAATGGCAAGCATGCACCGCTGGAATGTTACAGGAGCATTACATAACCCAAAGGGCATTCTGCAATACGTAAATATACCAAATGGGCATGTGAACGAAGTCTTTTCTTGATCTTCCAAGTTAACCACAATCTAGTTGTACCCATAATAGCCATCCAAAAAGTAATAGAATTCTTGTCCAACCAGCCGCTCCAACATTTGGTCCATGTATGGAAGTAGGAAATGGTCCTTGCATGTAGCTTGGTTCAATTTCTAATAGTTGATGCACATCCTCCAACCTGTCACAGTGCAGATGGGGATGAGCTCATTGTTCTCATTTCTGATCACAGTGACTCCTCCCTTCTTGGGTACCACTTGTATCAGGCTAATTCATTCACTGTCAGAAATAGGGTAAATCATCCCCGCTGAAAAAAGCTTTAAGACTTCTTTTTTGTTGACAATCTCTTTCATAGCGGGGTTTAGTCTCCTCTGTGGCTGCACCACAGGTGTGAATTTTTCTTCCAATTTAATTTTGTGCATGCAGAACGTAAGACTAATTCCCTTTAAATCTTCAATAGACCATTCTATTGTTGCCTTATGCTCCCTCAAAACTCTCATTAATTTTTCTTCATTCAACTGAGAGAATTTGTTGTTGATTATCACTGGACAAGTTTTCTTTTCCTCCAAAAATACATATTTAAGGTGGGAGGGCAAGGGCTTCAATTCTAACTGTTGTGGTTCTATTTTGCTACCTTCTTCCAATTTTTCAGCATTTGTAATTTCGTGCAGAATAGGTTGAGCGTCCAACTGTTGTACAATCTCTTACAACTCTTCATCACTTTCTTCATCATTGTTCATGACAGCATTGACTAGATACTTTTTCAATGGGTCTGTACAATTTTCTGCACCAAATGTTTTTACTGAAATCAAAGAATCTACCATTTTCATCCTAAAGCAAGTGCCCTTCTCATCATCCGAATGCTGCATAGCCTCAAAAACTTTAAATGTCACCTTCTCATCATGCACCCTTAACATCAATTGTCCTCGTTGCACATCAATCAAAGCCCTTCTAGTGGCTAGAAATGGTCTTTCTAGGATCACAGACACCTCCGAATCTTCATCCATATCCAAGATAACATAGTCTGCTAGAAAAATCAATTTATCCACCTTCACCAACACATCATCCATTACACCATATGGGTACTTGATGAATTGGTCAGCTAGTTGGAGAGCCATTATTATACTTTTAACTTCTCTCACTCCCAATTTCTTCAAAATGGAAAGCGGCATCAAGTTGATGCTAGCCCCCAAATCGCATAGAGCCTTTCTAATAGTCACATTCCCTGCAAGAAATTGTGAAGTTTCCTGGATCTTTCAACTTTGGAAGCAACTTTTGCTGCAATATGGCACTACATTCCTCAGTAAAAGCGATTATAGCATCCTCCTTCAATTTCCTCTTCTTTGAAAGCAAGTCCTTCATGAACTTGGCATACAACGGCATTTGCTCTAATGCTTCTGCAAATGGTATATTTATGTGCAGCTTTCTGAAAATGTCCAAGAATTTGGAAAATTACTCTTCCTTTCCCTTGTTCTTAGGGATGTGTAGATATGGCAGCTTAACATAAGGTGGAGGGATTTGAGGCTTGCATGAATCTTCCAAAATATGTTTCTTAGATCTGTTCCAATATGCCTCATCCACCACTAATTTCTGTTTTGCTGGATTTTTTGCCTCCTCTTCCTCTTTTTCAATCTCCAATTCTAGTTGATATTCTGCTACCTCTTCTTCTTTCCAGCAATTGAATTATCTTCTTTTTCAAGTGACTTTTTCTTAGGTTATGGCTCTACCACCTTTCTACTCCTTGTAATAATTGCTTGGTAGAATTCCTCTAAGTTTTCCACTGTATTCCCAAAAATAAAGCCTAGGGTTGGTTCATTTATTTTCTTTAAGATCTGTCCCATCTAATTCTCCAAGTTCTTGATGGATGCTTCTTGATTAGCCATCCTTGTGCTTGAGTCTTACATGAACAAGTTGGTAGTCTGTGTTAGTTGTAAGAGTGCCTTCTCAATGGTGGATACTTGTTCTAGAACTTAAGGTTGTTGGGGTTGTTGCATGGGACCAGAATTCTGAAAATTTTGCTGCTGCCACTGTCCTCCTTGTTGGTTTGGTCTTTGTGCAAGTGGAGTATAGTATGATTGGTTCAGTGGCCTGGTATTTAAGTTGGAATTTGGTCTGGACTGCTGCTGTTGAGGTAGATAAACAGATTTTTGATGAAAATTCTGCTGCTGCCACTGCGGTTTTGAATTGAAATTATGCTGTCGTGACATATTATTCATGAAATTCACTTGTTCAGCCCCTTGTTACTGAAAATACTCAACTCTGTCTTCACTTGTTCCCTCATGATATTCCTCTTGGTTGGTGGGGGCTACATAGTATACCGGTTTGTTCTCTTCTAGCTTCATATTTTCAAGCTTGGCATTGAGGGAATTTAGTTGTTGTGACATTAATTTGTTCTAAGCCAGTAATGCATCCAATGTGTTCAGCTCTAGCACACCTCTTTTTAAAGAATTCCTTTCCCTAGATTGTAATTGTTGGATGCCATAACTTCAATAAGTTGATGTGCTTCTTCCAAGGCCTTTTGAGCAAATAAGCCTTCAGCTGCTGCATCCACCATTGTCTTTATTGCTACATTCGGCCTATCATCAAAAGTTCTCAATTGAAGTCATTCGAGTAGCTCATGATAAGGACAGCTTCTCAAGAGTTCTTTGAATTTGTCCAATGCCTCTTACAGTGTTTCATCTTCCTTTTGAGAAAAAGTCAAGATTTCTTGCCTCAACTTGGTTATTCTAAAGGCTGGAAAATACTTTGTTAGGAATTTTCTCTCTAAATCATCCCAAGTAGTAATACTTACGGTTAGGATAACAGCCAGCTCTTTGCCTTATCCCTTAAAGAAAATGGAAAAAGAGACAACCGAATAGCTTCATCACTCACACCATTCATTCTAATCATTTCATAGATGGTCAAAAAATTCTGAATGTGCAAGTGGAGATCTTCGAAAGGATGCCCAACAAATTGTTCTTACTGAACCACTCTCATAAGGTCAGGTCTAATCACAATGTTGTTTGCTTGAATGGGAAATCGAACAATACGTGCATAATCATCCAAGATCCTCTGTTCTTCATTAGGATTTTCTGCCGAATTCTTTTCTTATGGTTCTTTTTCTTGTTCTGAAGTATGTTCCTTCTCTCTTTTTTATCTTATCCTTGCCTCACATCAACTATTTCAGCTGCTACACTTAGATTTTCATGCGAACACTTAAAACACAACAGAATTTATTAACCAAAGCTAGCAGATTCTCATTACAATTGATATTAACAATTAATCCTCGGGAACGGCGCCAGAAACTTGATAACTTTTTGGCAAGTGCACCAAATCGTTGAAGTAAAAAATTAGATTATAGTCCACATGGATTAATGTTAAGTACCAACCCACAAGAATAACACTAGTTGGGTCACTAAAAATATAGTATGAACAGAACACAACTTAACTAAGTACAGAATTGTAAAAACAGAATTAAAAATGCTAGAATTAAATTTTATAAATGAACAGAAACTAAGAAACTAAAACTGGGAATAAAAATCAGAATAATTGCATAATGTAAATGTCTTAGTTACTGGAAGTGGGTCTAAAAACAATTAAAAGATAGGTTGAGTTCAGAATCCCTTCTCCCTTTTCCCTTACAAGCAAATATATTTATAACTCAAAACACAACTTCATCTAATGGTCAGATTTTCTAAAATACCCAACCCCAATTCCTTGGTAATTGGTTCTCAAATGAAATTAGTGTTCTAATTTCTTAGATACAACTAAAAACATTCAGCATTAAGGTTTAAACCCATTAACCACGTCATCTTAAATTTCTATTCTTAAATAATTCATAATGAGCAAATTAATCTCAGCCAAAGAAAGCTCACTACTTTCTAGTGATAATGAACTTTTTATCAATCTCATTCACGTAGAACAGAAAAGCATTAAGTTCAGAATTAAGATGTTAGATTAAAGTTTGTATCTTGAGCTATATCCAATATTAGTTCATTGCAAAGGTTAAAGGTATAAGTTCATCCTCACTCAACCCCCAAGATATTTAGCTAGGCATAATGAAAGTAAATAATAATAAACTGAAATAGATTGCAAAAACAGAATTCATGTTTAAAGAAGAGCTTACAACAAATAGATGAAATGAGAAAAGTTACTATTCCATTACATAAACCATAGAAAAGGGGATGAAATCCAAGTTCCCATTAGAATCCTCTAACCAAGATGTAAAAAAAATTACCCTAACTACCATTTTCTACGTAAATTGTACCAAAGCCTAGATTTTTGCACCTCCAGAATGTACTAACTAGGAAAGATAAAAGATGCTAACTTTTTAGAAATTTTTTCTTTTATATGCTTAGTCAGCATTATGTCCCCACAATCAAAAGTTCATATCCCCACAATTGTGTCCTGCAGCACTCAACTTCTGCTCTTTATTCCAATTGCCAAATTCCTTTAATTTCCTTTCAAAAATTCAAATATTAGCATCAAAATATGAATGATCTATCAATTTTTCAGCACTTACAACATTCTATTAAATTTTCTAATTAATTGCATTAACTTATAATTTAAACTCAATAAAATATGCCCAAAAAATTTTAATTTTCTAAATGAGTTAGTGACTTATCAATAAGGTAGCTTTCTGTTTTTATTACCTAAAGTCTGAATTTCATATATTATGTACAAATCAAGAAACATAAGTGTCGGCCTTTTTATTAGCGACACTTTTTTTTATTATTAAAAATAAATGTCAACTTTTACATAGTCGATATTTTTTATTATTATTAAAAAGATAAGTGTTGATTTTTATAGAACCTACACTTAAAGGTGACATGACTAAAAATACTTTAAATAGAGAAAATATTTTTCAAATATCCTATTTTGATAATATATTTTAATTTTTATCATATTTTGGGGGGGGGGGGGGGGGGGGGAAACCCAAAATCAAAAATTGCCTCACGAGAGACCAAAAGATAGAGTTTTCAAAAGAATTTAACAAATAAGCAACAATACATTAGTAGTAAGACAAAGATAGCACCTTTAAATCAGTAGTGCTGCTGAATCAATATTTTAATTTTCACCACAAAATCAAAAGATTCTTGTTAAAAATAGTAAACAAACAGATAAAGATACCACCAATAAGTAACCAAAGAACGTCTTTTCTGTCGTTCTGTAAAAGGAAACAAAAAACAACATTCTCAGCAAGATGGGTCTCTCTACGCTCTATATATCTTCAATTGTAACTTTAAGTGTTGGTCAAAAAAGCTAAGCTAATCAGACCATACATTGTCCATATAGACCTACCCAAGAAAACCAAAAAAGTAATATAGATGATGAATAAATCTAATAAATATATACCTAATTCATAATACTTTTAATTTTTTATATTTTAAAAAAATATAACATTTAATAACTCTAACTAATATATTACCTAAAAAAAAACATAACATTCAATGGTACTTTTATTTATAATTTATATTCAGTGAAAAAAAACATTATTCATGAACGTGGCTTGCACATTTCTCCGAGTTTTAGTATATTTGCAATATTATAAAACTTATCATAAAAAACTAATATTATTCATGAGAGCAAAAATACTAAAGTAGTCTAGTCAATGAAGATACATGTGATTTAAAAAAACAATAAAATTGAAAAGTACATGTTCTCGTTATAAATAAATAATCAATTACTCTGTTAAGGTTAAACCTTTATTATCAATCTGAAATAGCATTACTGAATAGCCCCTATAAGTGCATTTGACTATGGAATTGAAAAATGGAAGCAAAGATCATAGAAAGATCAGAATAGGTTTGAAACCATAAATGGAATGTGGCATCTTACAATGGATTGTTGGCCCATTGGGGCAACTTGTATGGTGTGAAATCCCAACGCCACATCCGAATCGGACTGAAAAAAGTATTAAAAGTCAACTTTTTGGGCATCACATCATCATTATTAATCAATTTGGATCCATGTAATGTAGCCAAAGCTACTTTATTATTATTATATCTCACCGCTCCAGCAGAAGCCATATAAAGGTTTGGTCAGTCTTGTGGCTCTCTTAGACTGAACTGTTTTCTGTCTTTGAAAGAAAACGATAGAAAATGTAGCTTCCTTCACGGACCCGTTGTTCAGTTGACCTCTAATCTGAATATTCCTCATTATATGCTACTATTTGTTAATAATAATAGACTATTAAACATTGACATAATAAATACAAGAGATTGTGGTGTTGAGAGATACTCCTACATTGATCTTTTGGGTCTTGAATTGTTTGAGAAAATGGGTATTGTTGGGTTTATAGCATTAGCTTTGGTTCTGAATGTGGGTGTGGTGTGTAATGGAGGCAGCACAAGCCCCTTCCTCAGGAAAGTTGAGAAGACTGTGGATATGCCACTTGACAGTGATGTCTTTGCTGTTCCTCGTGGTTATAATGCTCCCCAGCAAGTACCCTTCTTTCATCATGCTAATTTCTTTTGTAATAATTAGCTAGGAGTTTTATGCTGTTTGGTTTGAATTGAATCAATGTCAGTGATTCGCAATTTACAAACAGTTAGTGTTCATTTTTCTTTTCTTTTCTTTTTTATCTTACTTTTGGTCTATTCGTTTTGATGCATAAGGTTCATATAACACAAGGTGACCTTGAGGGGAAAGCAGTGATCGTGTCATGGGTTACGGTGGATGAACCAGGGTCCAGCAAAGTGCGTTACTGGAGCGAGAACGAGAACGGTGACAACAAGAAGATAGCTAGAGGCAAAATTGTTAGTTACAGATTCTTCAATTACACGTCTGGTTTTATTCATCACACCACCATCAGAAATTTGGAGGTAATACTTTTTCTCTATTCCATTTTTATGCGGTTTGTTGATATATGTGGAAAGAAAAGAATAAGGTCATTTGCTTCCTGAATCAATTGTTGATATTTGTGCTTATTTTTGGACAGTATAACACCAAATACTACTATGAGGTTGGGATTGGAAACACTACACGGCAGTTTTGGTTTGTAACTCCTCCTCAAATTGGTCCTGATGTGCCATACACATTTGGTCTCATAGGTAAGTGTATCATTCTATCGAAGTAATTTGGCGTTGTTTTGCAAACTGTCATTATGGTACAAGCATGTTCACATTTATCAGTTGTCTTAAAAGTTGGTGGTTTCTTAATTTCTCCGTGCAATTGGGTGGTTGGAGAGGAGTCACCTATGCGTTTTAGCACATGGGAGTGGCAAGGATAAGAAATAATTCCTGATTTTGAAACAATATTCATGTCTTTTAACACTTAATGTAGATATTTTTTGCAGCTATTTGGTCTTTACCACCATGAACTGTTGAACATTTATCATAAATTTGGAAAGGAAAAATGAAATGTGTGTCCCAATAGGGCTTTATGTTATGTTTGCTGTAAACTAGTGTGGCATTATTTGCAGGGGATCTTGGTCAGAGTTTTGATTCAAATAAGACGCTTTCTCACTATGAGATGAATCCAAGCAAAGGACAAACTGTACTGTTTGTCGGCGACCTCTCTTATGCAGATAACTACCCAAATCATGATAATGTTAGATGGGATACATGGGGAAGGTTTACAGAAAGGAGTGTTGCTTATCAACCATGGATATGGACTGCAGGGAACCATGAAATTGATTTTGCTCCAGAAATTGTAAGATTCTCATAAGACTTAATTTAATTTGGTTTTAACTATTTGAGAAACTTTTCATTCGTTTATTTTTCGACAACAAATTTTATCCCTCAAGTAATGTATTTAAAGTCCAAATTATAGTAAGAAATAAGTTTTTAACATAGAGCACTGGTTTGTTGCAGGGTGAAACCAAACCTTTCAAGCCATATAGCCACCGGTACCATGTTCCTTATAAAGCCTCTCAGAGTACTGCACCATTCTGGTATTCTATAAAGAGAGCTTCTGCTCACATCATTGTCTTGGCCTCATATTCAGCATATGGTAATACTTGATACATATTTGTGTGGAGAGCATTCTGGCTGATTCTTTGATTTCTAATGGACACAATTCTGTTTGTAATAATTTTATGTTAGCAACTACCTATAACTTAATAAACTTATATGAAAGGTCAATTTTTGTTGAATAATTTCAGTTTTTAGGTTTATATTCACAAAGCTTTGAGCACATAATAATCTTATATAGATTAAATTATACATTTAGTCTTTATAATTGACACTCATTTACAAATTAGTCTCTATGCTTAAGAAAGTTGTTGGAATCAAGTGTGAATTAAGTCTCACATGAAATAGGATATGAGTAAGTTAGGGATTTATAAAGAGATAGACCCATGTACCCATTGACTTAAGGTTTTGGGGTTGCATAGTTGTGTCCTACTCATTGTAAGGCTCTCTATCTAAATCTCTTTAAACCCAACAAAGGTTACATTTTAGTCTATATACAATATTTTGTTATATTTTAATCCTTATTGTTATAACGTCATTAATGATGGAAAGGATTAAACATAATAAAATACTCGTGTAGAAATTAAAACATAAGTTTTTTAAGTATAGAAACTAATTTGTAATTGTGTTAAATATAGAGATCAAATGTATATTTTTATTCATTATAATTTTAAAAGAATTCAAGATATCAAACTTAGTTGAGAAAATACTCGTACAATCTTATCTTTCTAACATGTAATTCTTAACTAATAAAAAATTTTACTTGATTTTATATTTTATTTTACTTTTAAATGAATGAATAAAATGTCAATATTAATATTTTTATTATAAGTTTTTAATATGTAATTATCTCAATCTATATCTAGTTAAAATATTTAATTTTTTAACATTCATTTATGAATTAATTCTTATACTAAAAAAAAGACTTATATTTTGGGCTTTGTTATTATAACATTTAATGGCATGAAACTCTTACAAGAACTAAAATATAATTTTTCAATTATAAAGACTAATTTATAAATGAATGTTAATTATAGGGATTAAATGTATAACTTAACTTTCTATATACATATTTTCCATGTGGGATGTGACTGTTTATCTAAAGCATGATAGTGAAGTCCCAAATCCTTGACCTATTGACCACCAACACTTACCTTAAATAATTTGCGTCTCTGTCTGAACATACAAATTTATTTTCTTCTGCCTCTATGCTACTGCTTGGATTAAATGCACGCATAATCTGTAATGTCACTGCTTTTAAAGTGGTACCTCTTGGTGTTTTCTCAGGAAAATATACACCCCAATACAAATGGCTTGAAGAAGAGCTACCAAAAGTTAACAGGACAGAGACTCCTTGGCTGATTGTTCTCATGCATTCACCTTGGTATAATAGCTACAACTATCATTATATGGAAGGGGAAACAATGAGAGTAATGTATGAGCCCTGGTTTGTGCAGTACAAGGTTGATGTTGTCTTTGCTGGTCATGTTCATGCCTATGAACGATCCGTAAGTTAACTCAGCTTGTTAAGCTACTAACACTTCAATTTCTCATTTGAAATTTCTACATCATGCTTCTGAAAGCCACCAGTACCAATCATGTATTATTCGACCTGCATTCCAACTTGAAAAATTATCTATGCAAGTAAATGTCAGTTGGTCTCCCTAAAAAGATGAGGGAAATAATGAAAAAATATTGCACAAATGATGCACTTCCATAGTACTTTTTTAAAATTGTATCAGACTGATGGGATACTATGTGTAGGAGCGTGTTTCCAATGTTGCATACAACGTTGTAAATGGTCTTTGCACTCCTTTGAAAGATCAATCAGCTCCTGTATATATAACCATTGGGGATGGAGGAAATCTTGAAGGCTTAGCAACCAAGTAAGCTCTATACAGTATACATGAACCATGATTAGTCTTGTTGCATTTCTGGTTACTTTTATGCTCCTAATCTAATATAAACATCATTTGAGCTGCAGCATGACAGAACCACAGCCAGAGTACTCTGCATACAGAGAGGCCAGCTTTGGGCATGCCATTTTTGACATAAAGAACCGAACACATGCTCACTACAGCTGGCACCGAAATCAAGATGGATATGCGGTGGAAGCTGATTCCGTTTGGTTTTTCAACAGATTCTGGCACCCAGTTGATGATTCCACAGCTCATGTTTCGCACTAACGCAGATTTACTGGTCTTTTGAGAAGAATACCCAATGTGATGTCAATAAATTAATGACTCGATCATTGACTGTATGTCAATCATTAATTATCTGTACCTTTGTCATTCTACTTTGTATCTCTGTCACATAAATGAAAATTGCTTGCTTCTATTCTGAAACACTTTACACTCTTATCGTACCATTTAAGGTAGCACTGGATAAACTCGGATAAAAACAGTTCCTCATCAAATCCATCACGCAAGTTGAAATGCTTCTCAAGATACTTAGTACAGTAGCATTTTGATGGAAAAAAGACAAATCTAAAAGAGCAACCCTTATGCATCCCATGGATTGAATTTGACAAGATTTTGTTAGAACAGCATTTCTTAAACTACAAAAAAAAAAAAAAAAAACTCTAAACCATGTCCATTGCTCTTTTCTATTCCTTCTTAAAGTATATTTGAATGTAGAATAATAGCCTTGGAGGAATGTGGTGTTTTATTGACCTGATCTTTGGCCAAGATAACGTTCTAAGTAAAATGGCCTACATACCGGTAATTTGGAATTGTGCATTTTGTTTAGAGATACTTTCATGAATTTATTTGCAGAGTAGTTATTTTATTTTCATTGATTACAAAGCTTACAACACCATGCAACAAAGCCACAAGCCAAATCAATTGATTACAACACTCCCCCAAACACTCCAATTTAGATTGAATTCATTTCGAGAGGATATATAATACGTGAGATTAAATTTTTTAAAATAAAATGATCTAAGAAATGGCTTTATTTCTCTTGAGATTTTATTTCTGTCTTCAAAATTGAAATGGTTTATTGTGTGTGTACACACACACTAGCCTTTCTTCATCCCATATACAAAATCAATTATGTAGTGCACGCTTATATATGTATGTACACAGTTTAAAATGATTAGGTAAAATTTACTCTATCATGAGAGGGAGGAAAATAAAGTTTGAACTGAAGTAGTAATTTTGTCAAATTTGTTTACCTTTGTCCACATCGCAAGGATTTTGTCTTTGTACTTACGAGGTAAGGAACCCCATTGGTGTTATCGAAAAAGGACAAAGTTAAATCACGGATCAAGCAATTACTATCAAATCATCTATCCTTTGGTTCTTTTATTTTTAATAAAGAAATAACATCCCAATATGAAAAACAATTAAGATAAAAAATTATCACTATCCATGCCGTAAAAAGTTGACCAAATTAAATATATTTTAATTATCAATTAAAAAATGAAAAATAAAGGAAAAATTGATTTGAATCGAGTAAGTGTTGCTTCTGAAATTCATCAAAGCTTGGAATTTTAATTTTTACAAACACAGTAATGTTCCTTGCACAGTCAATTAGTATAATGTGCACAATTGTTATGGCCATTGGTCAGCGCAGTTTTGTGACATTATTATAATGATAAGAGTTGACAAGAATAATAGAAGATGGAGAGGAGTCTTGTCCAGCCAAGTTATTTTCAAGAAAGCAGAAAGAAGGGTATGTCTTTGAGATAAAATTCTGTAGTTTCTCACAAAAGGGGTGTCTCCTTCTGTTACCCTTTGCACACTCACTTTCATCTCCTTCCACTAATATTTTTATTCAACAATATATTGGAAGGATGGAAGGCGAAGGAGAAGTGTCAGCAGAAAATAAGCAGAAAGGAAGGTTCCAAAGAATATGTGTTTTTTGTGGTAGTAGAGCTGGATACAAGTCTGCATTTAGTGATGCAGCTCTTGAGCTTGGTAAATTGCTGGTAATTCTTTTTCTACTATTATTTGTCAATTCACAAAATAAAAAATATTGGGCCATGCCTTTAGTATATATAGTTCTTCTCCTTTGTAGAACTCTTGCATGTGTTTTTGTTTGTTATTTGTTTTGATAGGTTGAGAGGAGGATTGATTTGGTTTATGGAGGAGGAAGATTAGGACTAATGGGTTTGATCTCTCAAACCGTGCTAAAGGGAGGTCGCCATGTTCTTGGGTAATATTTTTTATTGTCTTACAGAATATATTAGGTTCCCTTGTATTCATGAACTTCATATTGTTTATCTCTTTTCTTTTCTTTTTTTGTTTAGTGTGATTCCTAGAGCTCTATTGCCTCATGAGGTACCATTCCATCCTTAACTACTGTGATCATATGCTTCTTTCAATCTGAATTTTTCATCATGAAAGGCTCTTACTGATCAAAACCCGCACATAATTAGATATCTGGGGAAACATTTGGAGAAGTGAAAACAGTTGCAGATATGCATGAAAGGAAGTCACTGATGGCTAAACATGCTGATGCATTCATAGCCCTTCCCGGTATATTATAGATAAAAATATTCTAAATTTTTTTCCTGTACTATAAACATTCTTACAATAACTTCAGGTATATATAAATTTAATCAAAGCTGCAAACTGTTCAGGAGGTTATGGTACCATGGAAGAGTTGCTAGAGGTGATAGCCTGGTCCCAACTAGGAATACATGACAAACCTGTGAGATTATCTTTATGCACTACTTTTAGATGAACAATGTATCATTGAAACTTTATGCTTGAAAAACAGCAAACATTTAGAAATGCTTTTTTTATAAAAGAAACATATTTTATTGAATTTTGGATATGGGGTTTTTTTTTTTCCTTTAATTTGTTACTAATAATTTTCATTCAAAATGTGAATATGCAGGTGGGATTGTTGAATGTAGATGGGTATTTCAACAGCTTGCTGACCTTATTTGACAAGGGAGTGGAAGAGGGTTTTATAGACAACTCTGCAAGGCATATTGTAGTCATAGCAGACACAGCAGCAGAACTCATAAAGAAAATGGAGGTATCAATGATATTACACAAAACAATGCTTATTGTAATCATGTCCAACTCCAACATAAACATTTTTTGTCGGGCTGCTTTCTGAATTATTGAAGAGGACGAGAAAACAAAGTTGTAGGTAAAAAGTACTGAACTATTTTTCTTTTTTATTGATTTGTGTGTTTTTCTTTTCAGGAATATGTACCCAACCATCACAAGGTTGCTCCAAGAAAAAGTTGGGCAATGGACCAATTATTATTAGAGCCAACTGAAACTGGAGAGATAGTAAGATCATAGATTTCCATCATCCATATGTATGAACTACATATAAAGAAAGTGGAGTCCCATTTACATTTAAAAAAAAAAAGGAGCAAAAGTACTATCTATGACGTGGAAATCTTAAGATTCCACATCATTAAGCATGAAACATGCATGTTGCAGCTCCATCAAAATGAAATGAATAATACGAAAGTTAGTGAACTAAGAATCCAAAGTTTCCCTGAAAGACCCATTGACTGTGTCATTAAATTATATACTATAATGCGATAACGATGTTCTTAGTTATGAATATTTTTTCAGTAAGGGGATGGTTGGGAAAGGGTTAAGGAGCGTTGTTTTATTTGTGTTAACAAATTGTTGATTAGAGGGTGATGTGTGAATTGGATTTGACTCTGTTGCTTTTGCTCCTTCTGTTTCTGTACTGGAACCCGTTATACAATTGACACCTTTGTTTTTAGCGTCTTTCAACTTCAAACTGTACCTATCAGTTTCAAAAAAACGTGGGACATGGCTTTTTTTCTTTTCTTTTCTTTTTCATATAGTGTCTGTCTTTTAAAATTATAATGCATCAGGAATTGCAATGTCTTCCTGATCCTTTTTTTAAATTATACAGTTTCAAAGATAGTTTCCTTAATTCTAGTAACTTTGTTTCGTTCAATGTAGCTCGTATTTTCTCATATTTATTACTTTTATATTATTAAAGAATTTTGTTTATCAAACTGATTATCTGTAATTTATAATTAAATTAGGTTTATAATAATAATAATAATAATAATAATAATAATAATAACTTTTGAAATGTGTCCCAATATAAATTTACAGAATATTGAGCGATAATAGAAATGAATATATCTTTAACTTCGAATATTTTAAATATTTTTATTGATATTATTACATTTTAATTACTTTACTTAATTTATCATGTTATTACTTTAATCTATTAACATGTAATTTAATTATTATTTTTTTCTTAAAATTTTAATCATAAAATTAATAATTATGTTAGTCTTTATTAAAAGACGTTAAAATTGAGTAATAGAATAACAGCAATTTGTCATATTAAATAACACAAGATAATTTGGAAAAAAAAATAGTATTGTTTTAAGATCTTTTAAATATAATTTATTTTTTTAAATATTTTTAAATAACAAGATCATTTTAACTTTTTTCTACAACGTCTTCTTTTCTTTTTCTTGTCACTACTATACTATATTATTAGGCGTAGGAATGATGAAAAGAGTATTTCACATAATAATTTTAAGGAAAACTACAGTAATCTCTTTCTTGTTAGCCTCAATGAAGTTCTGAATTGCAAAGGAATAATTATAAAGAATTGTGAGAGTTTCATAAGTAACAACTTGGAGAACACTATAGAAATAAGAAAGTCTTAATGTGGCAACTTAACTACTAACCAACAAAAAAATATTTACACAACCATGGTAACACCCCTCAAACTTCATTATCTTCTCTTTTTCAATGTAAGTACAAGTCAAGTGAATATCAAACCATTTCAATATTAGAAATAGCAAAGATAACCAACTATGCTAAAGTGTTTTTCAACAAACAAGGTACATCAAAGTTTGTTCTTTTCTTCATCATTTCAGCAAGTATATTTGGTCATAGAGCTTACATCTAAATAAGTTATAAGAAAATAATTTAATAAATTAAGTATTTATAATAAATTACATATTACTATTTATCACTTTTAAACTATACATTTAATTTAAATAAATAAATCACTAAATATCGATAAATACAAATGCAGATTAGTATCATACATATAAGATGGTTTAAGCAACAATCACATAAAAAATTTCAGCAAACAGTACTTTCTCTCAGAAGTTATGTACTAAAGGCATTCCTTAACTTCAACAAAAAGGATTAAAATTTTTTAATTTAAAATTTTATTTATTTTAAAATATAATTTATTTAATATTATATTATATTTTTTATATAAAATTATTTAATATATTATTATAAATTTTATGAATCTTAAATGAGTCATTTTACTAGGCCTTTCAAACCTAATCTATTTAATTAATTAAATTTTTAAAACAATTTAAACTAAGTTTATTACTTAAATTGATTAAGTTAATCTAGACTTTAAAAAAATTAAGTAATAAACTCTTATTAGTAAGTCTTATTTCTATCCAAAATTATAATAAAGAAAGAACGTGGCACTATCTTTTTTCCTCTAGAACACTTGACCCATAAATTGCACAATGGTATTCAAATAGACACGGAACTTACAAACTGAGGCAACGTTGGACAAGCTCATCGTGGTGGTAAAGATAAAATTCAAAGACCGATCAATTCATCCACAATAATCGTTGGCTTATGTGATTATGAATAAAAATTGGAAGTGGGGGCCTATCAATTATTGAATTGGATAAGCTCTAACAAGAAAGGAGTACAAGATAATGCTAATCCTTAAAATACATGTATAACGTTCATAGCTTCATCATGCTAAAGCATAAATACCACATGCTTATGGAAATTTTTTGTCTTAATGTGATGCACAATGCCATCAAGTAACCCACTGAATGGGAATCATCTATGTGCTAGGTTATGTCAATATAACCCAACTCCGTTGTTTAATCCATATGTTCATTTCATTTCCAGAAGGCTAGAACCAATGAAAGAACATGAAAGTTGGCATCTGTGTAAGGATAACTGCTAATTACAAAATAAAAGCATTTAATTTAGCATGTGTTTTGTTGAGATTTTATCTGGGGAAGTAAAAACCTATTTTTCAAAAAACTCTCCCTCAAAATGATAAAATTAAATGATTATTTCACTAAAATAAGTTAAACCCAAAGGTATAGTAATTTCAAGGTTCCGTGCCACAGATCAAATCTGGGTCTATTTCATAGCACTAACTGCATGAAACCATAGTCACGTGAAACTCCATTATGACAGCAGTATAGTACTGCAGTTACGAATGGATAGTTGATTAGAAGTCTTGCATATAATTTTCCTATCAAACTATTCCCAAAACATTATTTATAAGACTATAAATTACTAATCGATGAATTAAAGCATAAATTACAAACTACTCATATAAAAGGAGAAGGGGTGTGCTAGTAGAGGAGTAGCTTCTAGGTTACAAAGGGCAAAAATGAATATTTTACACGGATATTCACATTACAAAGATATGCAAGCTCCTAGTGCTCTAACATATACACGCGTGTATTTACGGAAATCGTCTTCCAGTTCCATGGTAGGCATGCAGAGTAAGAAGATTGCATGAATGGAGATCATTGCAGCTTTAACATAATACACACACATGGACATCCAGCATTTAGAATCTACAATGATTTTGGCACGTTAACAGTATAGATGCAGAGTAATAAACAGTTGTTGAAATCGTGCAGATGAATACTGTCAGAAGCATTTCCGGTGAACTATAGAAGGTCCAGTTTCATCGTATTCTGCCTTAGTGATATGCTGATTTTGAGGGAAAACCACTTTGGCGAGTATGGCACCTCCCACCCATGCAGAATACATGGCTAAATTTTCTGGCATGTATTCTGGAGGCTGCAGTAAGCCAGAGATTATCCGACAGTAGAAAGTAGGAACATAAATTAAAACATGAATAAAGATGATATTTTTGCAGTTCCTAATGTCATTCTAGAATCAAAAACCTCTGTTCTGTTGTAAAGTTTTTATCTTAGAATCTAACAAAGAGAAGGCTAAAAACTATTTATTTATAACATTTTAAGTTGTTATAATTTGAAGTTACTTGACAAGATAACGAAATTACCTTAACCAAGGTAGGTTGAACAGCAGATGAACTCAAGCTAGATTCCTTCTGAAATCTCTCTTCAAAACCTGCCGTGAGAAGCAGCATTGGTCGGTCAGTCAGAATTCACAAGCAACAGCTTTGTCGTAGATAAGAAATCCAACTCTTGCAAAATAACCCCCATTTTGTCTCAAATAAATAAATGTATTACACAATTGGAGTTTACTTGCTAATGAGAAAACCTAAATTCCATATGCAATTAAATGTAAAAAGACTAAGAAGAACGCTAAACTGGAATAGTAGATTTTTGTTTATCAGAGATCTTATTGGCGAGAAACTCCATGAACAGGCATGAGGCATCTCGGTATTGTACTAGCTCTGACTATCCATTTGGAGAACTAACACATCGGCAGGCCAGGCCCAACATTTTAAGTTCCATCCTTTTTTATCAGGCCAGTTTGGCCCAACAAAGCAATATAGCCCAAGTGGGTCACCTAATATAGGTTGGCCTGCCTCTTTACAAGTATTTCAGCCAGTACTTTGGTCTACCCAACATATCAGGCCCAGCCCAATAAAACTACTCACTTCAAAGGTCAAATACATATTCAGCAGCCTAACAAAATTACCATTAAGATAAAGGCAATATTAATTACTTCCAAGTCACCAAGCAATGATGAATTATAATGGCAACAAATAGTTTCCCCTACATATAATGCATATAAAGGAAAACATTCAATTGGCACAAAATCTTTTCTATTTGGGTTGTAAATGGCTTGTTGCCTTGCCATTAATCGGATGTATCATGAAAAATTGACAATTCTCTAGTAATTCTTTACTGATAAATGAGTCAGTAATAGTAAGTTCGGAACACATTATAAACACACTGGAACACACACATCACATCTTTACATTACTAAATGAGAAATATTTCCTGCCATGTAAGAGAAAAAAGACACAAGAAAAAACGTAATGAGGATACAGATATCTTAAGAAGCACTTGTGGAAAGAGTTTACTAGAGACAAGACTTCATAATTATTATTCATAACAATACTATAGTATTTACCATTTGTCAGTAGGGAAAGAAAATCCAAGTTCAGCGAAACAATAAAAAGGAACCAAAAAGACTGACTTTTCTACCTTAGGAAGTGAATTAAGCATACAGAATTAGGGTTGTGTATTACTATTTACTGTGGCTATCAAGGCTACAGTAGGAAATTCCGCCAGCTATGTTATCTATGGATATTATTATTTGAAAAATATGTTAGGCACTCCTATTCAGATTAGCTGGGCCGTGCAGGACTACATAAGGAATGTGAAGGGGGGAAGGGGTGGCAGAGAATGTAACCACCAGCTCACATGGCATGTGGAACAGTGGAAGAGAAAAGAGAGTGAAACATGGTTAGCCTATTCTGTTAGCTAAGAGTTTGAAGCCCCTCAACAACAAGCCTATCAAGGATTGTGCGTGGGATCGCATGAGGTTTTAGGTCTCTCGAATGACCTATGTTATATTTTTGGTGAGCCTTGATACAATGACGGTGACGGTTGTGACTTAGAAGTCACAGGTCAATCCTGGAGACAGCCTCTCTGCTAGCAAGGGCAAGGCAGTGTACATCTACCCCTTCCCAATCTCACAAGGTGGGAGCTGCTGGGTTTCCCTTTTTAAATTTTGGTGATTCAAATCTCAATCTTCTGTGATTCCCGAGTCTAATTCCCAATTTCTGTGATTTGAGAAATTTCTAACAAAATATATCTTTCATGACCAATTATTTTCCATCAAAATTTACTGACTTATGAACTTTCTTAGTTGCTATCCAGGCTAATAATTACACAGTATGAAATTTAATGGTCCAATATTAGGCTGTATTCTACTCCAATATTAGAAAAATACAATCCACTAAACTAAAGATAGAAAATATTCCATTTAATAAATATGATGCACAGACCAAAGATCTAGAAAAGGAAAAAGCATAACAAATTAGAACCTCATATCAAGCTTATCCTAAATTTTCCAGAAGTAATGAAGGTAAAAATTTACCAGTCATAGAAGAAGTGCCACCACAAACCACAGTATTTTCCAGCAGCTGCCTCTGATTATCTGATGACACAGTTGAAATAGCACGGACAAGCTGCTCAACAATGCCATGAGACTCTAAACCCAATAAGCTTGGCTGGAATAAAGCTTCCCCAACAGTATATCTTTCTCTCCCAATTGCTAACACCTATAAGATAATTCAACTTTCAGATGAAGTCATAAATTACTGTAAGTCCATTGAACTTGGAATGTAAAAACACAGTTGACACTTAACAAGCAAGGGGAAGGAAACAAAGGTTAGTGGGTTTTGTAATCTTTAGCACTTCAGACCAGTCTGTTTGGCCCGTAATTAACCTTGAGGCTGGTCCAAATTTTTCAAAGACAATTCTTTGTCAGATTGACCTGGCAAAGGCAGATGGCCCATTAAATAGATGCCCAGCTCAAACACCCTTTGAGAGACATTCTCCACTATCCCTCCTAATGGAATATCAAAATTTCAGATCCAATGTTCAACAGTCTGAGCTTGCAAAGAACTTGCTAAGTGTTTCCCCAAAACGCTAATTGAAAAATACTACTCCAGTTCCCCTCCTAATGTAATAGAAGAATCCACATGATAAGCAAAAAAATATCATATTTTAATTGCCCAATCATGAAAAGTAGATTAAAGAATATATTCCAAAGAAACAAACATCAGAAACCTCCTCAATGGTACTCATAAGCTTCGCTCAAATCAGTCAATCACAATAATCCAAAGAAAGCTCTCCTCTCTCTTTACTGATTCTTATCTCCACCTTCCTTCATTTTCATTTCCCTCCCACCCTATCAATCAGTATTAATTCATCTAGAGTAGTACCAACTTTGTTGAAGAACTTACCAATAGCTAAAATAAAATAAGGTTAGAAAACTGGCAATTATCACAAGCCAAAATTATCAGAGATATTCAGAGCAGACCTGTCCATCAGGAAGGGTATGCTTCTCCACAGGACAAGAATATTGGGTCTTCTGATAAGCTAATTCATCTTCAGCACAGCACGAGTATTGCTCTTTTATTTTCTCAACATCAGACACGCTGACGTTTACTTGTGGATTGGATTTGCCAAGTTCTTGAGCCAGGAAATCAGTCAGATCAATACCTCCAAACTCGAATCTTCTCGAGGCTATGTGGTGAACAGCACCCTCAATTACTGGCGCAATATCTAGTTATAAAACCAAAAAGATCATGATGCACGCAGTACATAACAACCAAGAAGCTCAACATGTTCATATGTGAAAACACTCAGACATATTTTTATTTACTCCAATAGTGCATGCAATATTTACTGAAACATAATTAGAATGCACCTCAAACAAAAATTTAAAAAAAATGTCTTAACACCATGAATTGATACTTTTACCTTCACCTTCAGTCTACATTTGTATTTCTTAGTTTAAATTGCAATTGGAATATATTAATCTTTAGAAGAATTTCATGTTCCTTTTTCAATAAACTTTTAGTAATATTTTCCAGATTGCATTTACCAACTACACTTGTATTAAAAAATAATTCATGTGGAAGATGAAATGGAGCAATTCCTCACACTTCCCTGCAGAAGTAGAAAATATGGAAAAAAACTTATTTCGTCTTTCAATTTGATTCCATGAGGAAAACATGAAGTTAGGAAAAACCTGGTTTGGTGGAACTGTGGAACTACTGATAACCTAAGTAAAGTCAACTGATATAGGAACCTAAGCACATGATTCTTTCCACTCAGCCATGCAGATAACTAGATAAAACAAATATTGCAAAAGAAAGATGGTATCTAGAATAGGCAAGACATATGAATATTCAATGGAAAGCAATGGAAAAAGTTCTTCATCATCATTTGTATTTTTTTATTGCTGGTGGCCTAACTATATGGTTTTCATTTTATTATTGAGGCATGATAAAGAAATTAATATAACAATCATTTATTTACTCTGTAGCAAAATAAAGATCACAGCACATGAGATGCCCTGTAACCCAAAGATCCCACATCACATGAACACCACCCGATTATGTGCAGGAGATAACATATCCCCACATCAAAAACAGACAGCCTGACCCACACAGCAAGCAGATAAAAAAATTCCATCTATTCAATGTAGAACTTATTCGCATAATTCAAATTAAGTTCCTATTGCTTCAGATGAGGATACCTATTTTTCCATGTCCAATATCAACAGTGCACCCTGAGATACGTCCCACAGCATACAGTGATAACACTGCTTGTTCTGATGCATAAAACCCTGATATGTTGAATGCTTCAAACATCAGTTGCACCAACTGTTCTTTGTTGGCCTGGAAAACAGCAACACATACAATAATCAAGAAAAAGCTGTATAATGCATACCAAAACTACCGGCAATTCCGTTGAACAAAAGGTTGCAGGAGCAGTTCAGAGAGATAAAAAAGAAACAAAAATCTGCAAAAGAAAAATACTTACACATACTTGGAAAGGGTACGACAATCATATAGGAATAAATATCTGTATAGATAAACAATCAGAAAGCAGAAGAGTTTTCCACAAACCTTAGGGGTACAAAGTGGATCTGTAAATAGTATTTGTCCTTCATTGCCAATTTCCCATCCAAGACCAGTATATAAAACATGGTGCAACAAATCCTCGATGGCATCCCAATCTCTGACAAATCCTCGTACAACAGGGTCAACAGTGACATTTTCAACTAGTGAAGTATCAGTGACTGATGCATCATCAAGCACTCGTTTCATCTGAGTGGGAATTATCTGAGTCACACGAAAGGAAGCAGAATCAGGGATTGAAACAATAACATATCAAAACAGAAGTCAAAAGTTTGAGTTATGAATAGCTGAATGGGTTAGAGTTAGCAAGTGTATATAGCACACAATTCTGCATGAAATGAGGTAAACCCTATCAGCTCTAACTGAATATAATCTAGTTTAGTCTCTAATAACACCAATTTAAGAGCAAAAACAAATAGTTGAAAAGTTGAATGGTGTAATTTACCATGGCGGGAGTCTGGTCAGGAATTGCAAAACCCGCTTTGAGGAGCTTTGAGCCAACGTCGACCACCACCGCTTCCATCACCAGACCTAAGCTCAGCTCTTGTTTCTTCGCTAATGGTTCCACTCAGCTGAACCCAAATTAGCGAGTGTCAATTTTGAACCTGTCTTTTCACTCTGTCTTCGCACTTCCGGTTACCACCAGTTATTTTGTTTTCAACTAATGAACGTTATTAAACAGTCACGGAAATGAGATGTGGACAGGGGGCGTGAAGTTTATTTTTTAAGCAAAAAAATGTTCTTAAATAAATAATAACAATTTGATGGTATACGAAGTGGAGAGAGAGGCAAACAGAAGTAATAGAATGTAAAGAATATAATATGATAATGTGATAAGAAAATAAAAGTGAAAATGAATTTAAGGTGAATATAAGAATTAAGGTAAGAAAAAAAATCAAGATCATCTCTTAAAATTATGCTATATTTGATTGAGAAGAGAAATAAAAAGAATAAAAGAAAAAAAGTTTAAAAATTATAAAAATAAGTAAAATTTTAAACTACTTAATATTTGAGAAATATTGAAAAAACAAAGTGAAGTAACATTTTTCAGTTAAAAAAAGATTTTAAAAATTGCCATTTTATCTACTTTCTTGCGAAATATGATGAGTATGAAAATTATGTAAAATTCACGTCATTTTTTCTTTTTATTTAATTTTTATTAAAATAAAGAAAGAAAATAATATTTTATTTTCAGTTTTTCTTGCTTCACTTTTTTTTTCACATTTACCACACAGTGTTGGTATATTTTTCATGTTTAGTATAAATTATTTAAAAATAATAAAATTTTAAAAAATGTAATTTAAATTTTAAGTCAAATCAACTTTTAAATTAATTTAATTAGTGAACGTATATTTTAAAAACTCAAATAATTATTGTATATTTAAAATTTGGATTTTGACTAATAAATTATTTTTAAGAGCTAAATCATTATTTTCTTCCCACATAAAAAAAAAATCACTATTTTCTTCGCTGATTTTCATGGGATATTCTTAATAATTTAATTAAGGATGGGATGTTTTGTTATGTAGAAGGGGATAGAGGAGGCTAAGGACAAATCAGGTCAGGACAGGCCACATGCCCTAACGTGCTGAAGACATATAAATGGGATATATGCATAAATTACCAGACATATGCTTCGTTTGAAAAGTTGAAGAGGAATAAAAAAACCTTACAAAAGAAAATACATTTCACCAAAACGTTTCATTTGTTTGGAAAACAGAAAAGAGAAGAGAACGAATAAAATGGTTGTTGGCCTCCTAAAAAACTTGCTCTCCAGAATGGAAAGAGAGCTTTATCTAGTGAGAAGGGAAAAAAAAAACGAATTTTAATTTTATTTTATTACATTACAAGGGTTTACACGTCATTTAGCATAATTATATTTTTTAAACTTTTTTATATAAGCAAGTAAATGGAGAGAAGAACTTTCTTTTTCTCCATATTCATTCTTCCTTCTCTTAGTCCAAACAAAATAAAAATGTTCTTTTTCTTCATTTCCCCCATATGTTTACTGGCATCCAAACAAAGCACTACGGGAAAGCATGAGATTTTATATTGAAATATGTAAGTTGGTTTAAAAATGTTTAATAATTTGATATTGCGTGAAAAAACGATATTATATGGTTTTTCAGAAACAAAACAATTATATTGAATGGCATGTATAATAGTAATTGATATTTCCCCATATATCCAACAGTAGCTCTAATTAAACTATAAAAACACGTAAAAGAATTTGATAATGGCAACAAGCATCATAGGTCAGCAACCTCGAAACGCACCCAAAAAAGAAATCTCATCATTTAATTACCTATTGATGTATAAATATCACCTCCGAATAACTCTCACAGCAACTACAACCAGGGAGAGATCGACTATTTACAGTTGTCAATTTGCCATGCATGCAACCACGCCATAACAATTGGAATATGTTTCTGCAAAGTAACTTCTGCTGATTCTGTAAGCAAAGAACTATTGACTGTTGAAAATTTGTACAAGGGAGCAAGAAGAGAAGCTCATATTCCTGAAAGCATAAAAGATCTCGATTCATGAACTGAAACTAGGACTAGAAAGTAGAGACCACTTCATATGAGACTTGATATTTGATCACGCTTGCGCTTATGATCCTCTGGCAGTAGCAGATTATCGCCTTCCATGTTCACATGTTCGGTTATCGAAGAACACAAGTCTTGGTCCATAGTAAAATGGCTATTGCTTCCTGGATTCAGCAGTTCCCCGTCTTCTATTGAAATCAAGTTAGTCTGTTCCTCAACTGAGACATCACCATTGTTTTTCAGTTGTTCCTTAACAGAAAGATCATCATCTCTATCCATGACAGAGGGATCCCCTGAGCTTGTCTCTTGTGTCTCAACCAGAAGGTCTTCAAGGAAACGCTGGGAAACAGGACTTCTCTGAGAAATGAATTTCACATCCAAGAGTGGGGCGTCAAAATCTACAACAGAGGGGGCAAGTGAAAATCCAAGAACATTCTCTATAATGTTCTCATGGAAGGGATTTTTTAGGAGCTCTGTTGCAACTGTGAGTTCAGTCCTTGCAGATGGTCCTTCCTGAGTGATACTGTAACCACCAGGGGTCTGACTGTCAACCAACTCATTTGAAATGTCACTTGTATTGGATGACGAATCACAGTTTTGGCCATTGATTTTTCCATCTTTGTCTTCTTCAATGTCATCATTAAAACCTGATCTTGGATTATGTTCAGCTAAAGTACTGGCTTTAACACACATCTCATCTTGATGCTCTTCTGCCCCATAAAATTGGTCATATTCTTCAGCTTCCTGGGCAGTCTTTTCAGAATATTTATCATTAGAATCCATCTTTACCTTCTCTCCACTTCCCAAAGAAATATTGGACGAATCCAACACTTGGAAGTGACTAAATTTCTCACTGTCTGTGACATGAACTGAGTCATTTTTTGCTATCTCATTACTGCTCCCACAGTCATCATCATCTTCATTAGAAAACTCCGGCGCTTTAACAGCTAGACTTGTAGTATACTTTGGAGACTCTAAAGACAGAGAAGAAGATAAAAAATTAAATAATGCAGAAGATAATGCATCATCAATTGATTGCTTTTCTTTATCTTTTGAAGAATTCATTTCTTGTCCTAATGCATTGCCCTCTTCATCCTCACCATCAGGAAACTCAGGAGCTGTAACTACAAGACCAGGAAGCAATTGAGTGGCATTTGCTGAATTAGACATATCATGTGGAGAGACATATGGTACCTCCGTATGCATTTTCTTATCTGGTTCACTTTCCCCATTGATAGTAAAATGAAGAGAATTTTCACAGGAGTTGACATCTGATTCAATACAAGCAGTATCAGGAGCAGAAATTCTACAACATGATGGCAATGCAGAATTCTGCAATTTCTTAGACACTGTATCAAGTTGCTGCTCAACTCGCTGGAGCCTTGCCTCAATGCTGTTCATCGGCATTACCATTTTCTCTTGAAAGCCCAAACAGATTTCTTCTATCCGGTCCATTCGTGATACAAGCTGTTCCAGGGCCCTTTCAACATTTCCACCCAAAGAATCACCATGATTGCTCTCAGTAATAGTAACTTGTGAGGTGACAGCACTATGATTGCATTCTGTTTTAGCAGTTTGTACGGGAACAGCACTGTGGTTGTTCTCCATTTCAACAATTCTTGTGGGTACAACACCACAAGTGCTATCCATTTTTGCAGTTTGTGAGGGTAATCCAGCACGGTTGCTCTCCGTTTTAGCAACTTGTGAGAGTGTGTCTAGCTGGAATGGACCCACCCAACCTTCTTTCACCTCATTCAACTTCACTTCTTGAGGATCAGTTATGCTAGCATTTCCTTTCAGCTGAGTTTTAATCACAGAATCAATTGATCGGGTTGCTTGCAAATCATCCTCCGAAACGTGTTGTTTTTCCTTTGTAAGAGCATTTAGATGACCAAGCCCTGTTGTCTTAGAAAATTGCATTAAAGTGGGAAGAAACATAGCCATGAGGGAATTGGCAGACGAGTTATCGTTACGACTTTCTTGGCTTTCTGAATCAGCTGAATCAACAGGATCAGCAAACACATAAATCTCATCAACAGAAACACAGCCTTTATTCTGAAGCGAGAGCAGTCGAATTGTAACAGAAATGCAAGGATTTGCGTCATTAATCTCCGCCGTAGCCTCATGAAGATCCTGGGACAGAAAAAGAGAACATCGATATCCAAAAAAATCAATCTAACATTGGTGTGAATGCGATACCACCATCTTGACATGGCCCGTGAGATTCTAAAATTTAGGAAAAGAATGTACCATTTATTACACTCCCTTTCTCTCCCTTGATATATGTTAAAATTACACCGGAACTTACCATTTACTAAATGGATGCAACGATTATGTTCTAGTTCTACCCTCACAGATCATATCCATTGTTTTGTTCTTTATTCCCTAATCTAAACGAAACAGAAAAAAAAAAAAAAAAAAAAAACTTGAACAATCATTTATTTGGAATAAATAATAATTAACAATTGAAGAGACAAGTGAATGAATGTGCACAGAATACCTGAACGATTTTGGTAGAGTTGATGTAGGGTTTCGTTTGCAAAGGGTTGTTTGGAGTATCAACAACTTTGACTTCAACCCAATCATCTTCATTCTTAACACTATCGTCACTCAGATCTTGAATAGGAGAAGAACGAAGAACCTCGCCGTCTCGAACAGCAACACCGCATCGAACTGTACAGAGATAATCGTTGGTGGAGCGAAGGTCGGGTGCACAGTAAATCTCGTACACTCGAGCGGAACTTCGAACGTAGACTTGTCTGAGCTCATGTTTCTGCGAAAAATGAACTACGAAAGAACGCAATGAATGGATTAATAAAAAGGAAAAGCAATTGAAGTATAAGAAAGGGAGAAGGGAAGTTACTGTTGATTTGGCAAGGAGGGGAATCTGGCGAAGGTGGATGAAGAAGTAGCGGAGTGGATTGGGAGGGGGAAGTAGTGGCTTCGTCAGAGAGAGAGGATTGAAAGGTGATGCAGTGACGGAGAGAGCCATAGCCAACGGTCCAGTTGGTTTCGGAACTCCAATCTTCCTCCATACCCATTGATCAAGAAGATGAAGAAGAAGATGATGATGATGATGACGATATGAAAGTGAAGGGAACGAGATTTTATAGGTCACAATCACTCTCGTAAACGGAGAAATTAAGCAATATGCACATACACTTTTTACTATTTTAATTTACCGATTTCATTTACGATGGTAAACTTTAAATGATTTTCTAATTGGTCACGACGATTCATGTTTAAAAAGATAAAATAATTTTTTTAAAATTAAAACATTTATTATTTTAAAATCATAAAAAATAGTTGATATACATTTTAAGCAATAATTTAAAATATCTAATATGTTTAACATATGTTTTTCAACATTTAGAAAAAAAAAACGTTTATTTAAAATAAGCATTCCTCATGCACACGTGTGTAAAAATTTAAACCTTTTTAAAAGAAACTATTATTTTTTTTTCATGCATAAATAAATCTTTAATAAAAAATTGAAAAAATAAAAAAATAAAATTTTAGTTGAAACTACAAGTTAAATTTAACAATTCATATTGTTAGTTTAATTATGAAAATAAAAATAATATTATAATAAATATAAATTTATGAATATAAATTTTTCTCCAAAAATAGGTTCTTAATGAATATAAAAGGAATGATCAGAAAAAAAAAATATTTTTCTTAAGAAATTAATTGGAATACCGACAGATTTTAGAGAATTTCATGATTTATTATTATAATAAAAAATAATATAATATTAAAAATAACAAAATTCCAAACATTATTTATAATATTATTTTCTTTTTTTAATATATTTTAGAATAACTGCCTTAAAAATAATGAAGTTAAATTTAATTATGTTATAATAATAAATTTTGGTTATATATAAAGAAAGTTACAGAACATTGTATTTATATGCTTTGATAAAAAGAAGTGTTCCATCATATGATTTTTAAATTTCTGCAAACGGTGACTAGATCAAATTAAAAACGTCTATAAATAAATAAACTTTGTCAAACCTACATGCCTTCAAAAACTAGGGCAAGCGAAGGTTAAGATGATTGGGAGTTTAGATTTTTTGAGAAGCAAGAGAAGGGAAGATTTCTTGTTTAGAAATTTTTAAATGAAAGGGAGAAAATTTATAAACCTTTCAAAACATTTTTACTGTGATCTATATATAGCCGGACCAGTTTATCATAAAATTCTCACAACGAAATTGCATATAATGACTTGTTTGTTTAAAGATTGTGGCACACCATCAAACATTTGGACAAACAAAAAAATCTTCTGAAATAAACACCTCAGATGGTTTAATTGTATGGTTTGGGGCATTGTGGTAAACTTAATTTTATTTTATACAAACTGACCATAATTTATTTATTTATTTATTTATTGTGAACATTAAAGGTTACCTAGAAGGAGGTATCTAAGAAGCATCAAAACCAGCATTTCTTGTGTATTCTTGACCGTCATCAGGGTGTTATATGCTTAATGGTTAAGGGTGTCATCGAAACCACAAGTTCATGAATGCATCGAAATTGCTTTTAATCCAATGATTTCTTGTTAGATATACTTAAGATGTTTCTTGTCATCTTTGTGGACTGCAAATATAATAGTTTTCCATCCCTATCTAAAGAAGGCCGAGTAATGTATCTCGTTCAGCTTCAAACGCTCTACGCAAAAAAGGAAAAGACAGGCTATAAAATTTCTACTATACCACTTCCTTAGTCGAGTAAGGAGCATTAAACCAACGATAGCAGACATAAGGCAAAGTTGTTTGTTTCATGAACAAATAGTACATAGAGTCAAAGGATCGTCATATGAATAGAAACATTACATCCCTCATTGAACTTTTCATAAGCCCAAGGCCCTCATTTGTGACAAATCTTAGCTGTTGGCATGGTGACACAAACAGGAGCATAGGTTTTCCTAGCTTCGGGGGTACCAGGTTTGGGCTGGTCTGCCAAAGCCATCCCAGCAACAGAGCAAACAGCTGCTGCTGCAGCAGCAGCAAACATCATGTTCCTCCTTCCATTGCTGCCCTCCTTATTCTCATAATTAACCTTCCCCTTTTCTCCTTCAACTGTTCTGGCAGCACTAGCCACCACGAGCCTCCTCTGGGATGCCACCGGAGACCGGTTGGTCACGGCTGAGCTGCCAAGGAATGTTGCTGTCATTGTGATAGATGCCATCGCTGCTATGTAATCTCAGCCCTGTACTAGCCCCCAAAACTTGTCCTTCAATGTTGCAAGTATTCAAGTTTGATAAAAGAATATATGGAATGTAAATCACAAACGAGGAACTGGTAGGGCCATCCACTATCTTATCTCGTTGATGAAATGACCAATAAATGATTGCCACGTAGAATAAGTGATCCTCTGGAACTAGTAGCCATTCAGAGAAGGATCAGAAAAATTAGGATTGTATGGGCTTTAAAATTTCTAGCTTCCTTTCCTCTTTTCTATTTCCTTTCTTTTCCTATTTTTCGGATGGGGGCTGGGCTTATCTGCTACAGTGTTATGTGAGCCACTTGCTAGTTTTAACACACCGTACAAGATTCCTCGGCCCAAAACAAAAAGCTAAAGCAAACACCACCTATAATTTCAATCCACTTACTTTTGCTTAAGGCTTCTATATCGACCGGATTACCATTCGAAGTTAATGAATTGCTTACAAAAGATAACGTAGGCAGTTGACCAAAAATAATAATAATTTATGCATTTACGTTGTATTAATATGAGCTGTTACATGAGACCTGTCACTTCATTTCACAAAAATACATAAATAAATGGGCATGATACAACTTGGTTTTGTAGACCTAAGCGCAAATAGCAGCTTTTTCTCTTGTTCTGTATGGAGGAGGCAATAAATTCTGTATGTTAGCAAAAAGGTCTTCACGGCCAAGTGGTGGTTCAGCAACAGGCGAATCCAATACTGAGTCGGGAATTGCTACAAGGGTTTCTTCAAAAAATGAATTGATTGTCTACGCGGTTCAAAAATTCAGTCAGCGTTTGAATCAATTAAGGTGATAATTGAAGTTGTAAATGGATAATCTACAGACAACAAATTATGTAACAAAAACTTGACCTAACTACACCAAATAACAATTAGCCTTCTATGATGATCAAAATTTGTATATCCTGTATGTTGATAATTTCATCTTAACTCATTGTATAATATAAATGACATACTCATCTAAGTAAATCAAATAATTAGGTTGCACCATAGCAATCGTACCGTGCAATTTCGGAAGGCCGCATCAGCTTTGCGCTTCCAAAGTCCATTGCCAGGTTCCGAATGAAAAAGATTGAGCAAAGGCTGCAACAACACAACAAACAATGGCTATATAACAGCAGCAAATTGGAGGTAGAAATTAGAATTCTATTAATAGATATATAACTTGCTTCATGCAATTTAAAAAGAGGAGGTGGGACAAATAACCTCCAATCTTCTAACTCGTAGAATGAAATAGGAACCCTTCATAGAGAAGTGTGCATACTGTGTAAATACTTTAAAGTTATCAGTAGAAAAATGAGTCTGGTTTGTATAACAACTTAAAGTTACATCTGTACATATAAACGAAAGTAGCTTTCATTATCAGCTATTCTATACTACATTCAGCGCAACACAGGAATTTCCAGCGAATGGAAGAAAGTAAGAAATTAGAAAATTAATCAACAGAGTTATATTTATCCCCACCTTCACAATATCTCGCACAGCTGGCTTGCGTCCATATTTTCCCAGTACTGAGTCCCCATAGACAAGATATTTTTCAAGGACCTTAATTAGATGAAAAATAAGTAATTAAAACCCAAAAATGGTAAACTGGGAGTAATGTGAAAGTTGATTTAAAGATTGGTGCAAATGAATTCATGGAAAGCCAAACATTCTGTCAATGTACCTGACGGCGTGTAAGACCACAGCTTGGCATGCCGTAAATTGCAGTATCAACATGTCCCAAAATTTGCCAGGGGCTGTTGAGATCATCAAAAATGGTTACTCAAGCCACCACATATCAATTTACATAAACAACATTAAGAAGGTCAAATTAACAAAGCATTGTTATATAAATATGTTTTCTATGTCCCGGCCTAACACCTTTAAGTTGTTAAGATTTCATTCCCTTAATTGAAAAGCAAAATCCTGATATGTGAAAGCAAGAAACATTTTGTTAGAGACATCAAACAGACAAAAGGGGGGAAATGATTGAATTTGACACTCACTTATTGTAAGCAGCACGTCCAACCATAACACCATGAGCCCCAGCTTCTCGACCTGCATTGACCTACAATCAAAGTTCCCAAGAAAACAGGCAAAAATAATATAAGCATCATAACAATATGTAGCAATTACAAGAAAACAATTTCAGTGCTGGAAATTTCCCAAAATTTGAATCAATGTTAGTTTCAATACACACAGAATGATCACCGTAACAACAATTCACCTCATCCACACTTGTAATGCCACCATTGATTGTAAATGTTAGGTCAGGAAAGTCACGCAAGAGGCCATAAAAATATTCATATCTGCATTAAAAAGACATCACATGTCATCTGCAGTTCTATATTAATATAACTACAAAAATCAAAATTTACTAGCACATACTTTAGTGGAGGAATACTCCTATTTTCGGCAGGGCTAATGCCATTGAGCAGTGCCTTCCTTGAGTGAATTATAAAATGTTTGGTGGGTGATAGAGAAGAAACCTTGTATATGAAATCACCTGGCAGGCAAACAAAGTTCAATATGTAACCCTAAAATCCATAGTATAAATATTTTATAGACAAAATTATAACCTAAGATCTTAATCACCTCAAAGCAATGTACAATGTATAATAGAGATCCATTATGCTTTTGGACAATAGCATCAATGTATCCATCTAGCTGATCCCACTGAAACCTTGAATACTAGATAAATCCCCCCCAAGTAACAACATAGAAAAGTATATTTAATCAAGTCTGTATTATCACCAATCTTCTCAAATTAAAAAGCTTGATATCTTTAAAGACAAATAAATGGAGACATCTGCAACTGTAAGCCTAATAACTAGTACCAGTAAAAGAAAAAGGAGGTCCGGGAAACTCCATCAAAAATAATTTCTACTAGATTCTGAACATCTCTACAATTTATCCATATGTTATTCACTTTCAGGAAAAATTAGCAACCAAATTCAACCCCCTCCCCCCTATTGTTATGATATGAATAATGATTTCACACGTGAAGATTCCCCTCTGCTATTAGCATGTCACAATATGGATTCCACCAATTAAGTAGTATTTCAAATTAATTGCAACAGCAACCAAAGGATTTTGAAATGATAAGCACCCATCTTGTACCTAATCAATTTTGGTGAACACTAAATGTAGACACTCTTTGAGTTTGAACACAGCTTGGTTATAAAAAATTATGAAATATAGCAGATAATAACATATATATTGTGTGCCCATAGCCCATAGCACTATTCCCCATAAATTTTTAAAACAGCAGGATGAAATCTATTCATTGAATCCACATGTTACAACTGTTCAACTTGAAAAGACAAAGAATGTATATAGAAGGACCTTACACAGCTCATTGTAAGAATCATGATCATCCACACCAATTCGACATTTGACACTGACAGGTAGATTTGTATTGGTAGCTATTGCTGACATAGCCTCAGCAACAAACTTTCCTTGTATACATTAGATTTCTATATCAATAGGTGCTGATGAAGAAATTTTATATATTTGATCTTTTTGCATGTCATCAGAATATATTTAATTAAGAACGATTTGCTAACCTTGGGATCAAGCATAAGACTCACACCAAAACACCCATGCCCAGCTACTTTTGGACTAGGGCATCCACAGCTGGTATATGTTTTGAAAAAGGTCTATGTCAAAGAACAATAATAGAACAATGAAACTTAAGGTTTAAAATGATAGGAAATATGCGTACTTCAAGTTGATCTCATCATAGCAATAAGCATTTGCAAGCTCAGTTGCTTTTGCCAAACTTTCCATATTACTCCCTCCAATTTGAAGCACAATGGGATGCTGGTCTGGAGAATATGCCAAGAATCTGTCCTGAGCAGAATACACAAAATAAAAGAATGAATAGTTTTTCAATACCAACTTCTCCAGTAATTTAAATACCATTCCGTTATTTTGGGATCTTGTTCACTAGCATGCCCTTGGCTATGCGATAAACAACTAATTTTCAAACGAAAACTAATCATTGGTAGTTATAACTTATAATATGAAATATATTTTATTGTAAAAATCAACAAAAATTGCAATCATGATCTTAGTTATTGTCATAAGAAAAATCCTTTAGCTTCATAATACTTAGTGTTTTCCTTTTTTTTTCATTCTTCATTTTCTTTAACAAGCAGACTTATATATCTAAACTTACCAGATTGTCCTTTTGATGAACAATTGTTTCAGCCGCAATCATCTCCGTGTACAGCCAAGCATGTTTTGATATAAGGCGTGCTAGTGTCCTGTAGTGATTGTCTGTCCAGTCCATCATTGGAGCAACACTGAAATTCATTTGAAAAGAAATACCAAACCAGGTTGATAAAATCAGTACACTTATAAAACAGAAAAATAAGAACGAAAAACCAAAATTAAAAAATAAATGAAACGCGTAGATACTATAAACCCACCTAAACCATGGAGGAAGATAGTATTTGGCAACCACCCCAGTTTTATCACGTGATTGTTCTTTCTGAGCATGAGCAGAAAAGAACCTAGAACTACACAAATTCCTACGACATATACCTACTGAGAATCTACAACTGTTTTTCACAACATTAGAACCTATAGGAGTCAATGAAATGGCAAGGGAATATCCTGCAAGTTTCATCTTCTCAACCCTTTTAACAAGCCATGTCCTGCTCTCTCTTGTAATGACACCTATCCATCAAAAGAAACCAAATTTATATTCTAACAACCAAATATGAAAACGATGAAAAAACCAGAGATGCATCTATTTTAACTTGAAAGGTAAAAAAAGTAGCCAAGTGAGGAGCACAAGTATTTTAAGTTAGTGGGGCGAGGAATTGAGAGACATTTTATCGAACAGAATACATGCAGGGTCATATGGGCACATAGGAAATAATAAAACATTTACGTGAAGGAAAGAATGTTATGCCGGCAACGGATTCTGGGTCGGCTTTGGCACGAGAGTTCAGCGTTCAAAAAGAGAATTTGGAACTGTGTAGCTTATCCAGATCAGATTGCAGAACGTAAACAATAAATAACACTAATGTTACTAAGACAATCGTCAGCGTAAAAAATTAAGTAATTTTCCTAATCATACATGTCTGCCGAATTCAATAAACTTGCATTCACGGTGACTTAGAAACGACTAAATTAAGCTCCAATAACCATTCCTAGTTGATTGGTAGTATATATTTGTTTATTTGAACTATCAATTTAATTACAAGAGTAAAAATTCTTTTAAAACTAAAAAATAGTCATTTATGCTTTGTTTGAAAATAAAAAATTATTTTTATTTGTTTCGATGAAAATAAGAGAAAACAAAAACTATACATAAAAAATTAAAATATTTTCGTTTATTGTTTTTGTATTTTTTGTTTCGAAAGCTAATTTTTTTATTTTTAAACAGATTAATAAAAAATATATATAACTTCCTTGATTTCATTTTATGTTTTCAATGAAATAATTTTAATGATAAGTCATATTATTTTAAAACAGATTGAAAGTGATTCTGTTTTTATATTTTAATTTGGGATGAAATCCTACAACGCTGTTTATATGATCTACGATGATGTAATTTTAGTCACTAAAATTATATTTTATGTCAAAATTTTATAATAAAAAAATACACCATATTATAATATGAGAAGTTACTCATGTGGTTCTGAATCATGAAAATTTTTCTCCTCATTATAAATTCATCAATTATCTTATGAGAGCATTATCAGCTTAAGTTTACACAACACTATTACGAGTTACAATGCAAATTGAATTATGAACTCTCCAATCTCAAACTACTAGACAATCTTTGTTTTGCTTATACTACATCCATTTGTTTTAATTTGAAGAAGTACACTTAATTTTCTTTTAAGTATGGTACATAACAATTTAGTATGACTTTAGCACAAATTTGTTAACATGCCTAATGAAATCAATTACATGACTTTTCTAAAATTAAATCTTTACATAATCAAGACACACACCTACTTATAAATAGCAAAGAGAAAAACTTATCAAATATACAGTTTTATTCTATACTTAAATTATTAAAATGCATTTAATTTATATACTACTCTCTCTTTTTTTATCTCTTAAAATTCAGTTGTTATTATTTTAATAAGTTATAAGTGGAAGTGAATGATTGTTATAATAAGTCATCATGCATTCAAGCTTTAAAAAAAATTTTAAAAAATAGTTTCCCTAAAGTATTATTTTATATTCACAAATTATAATAATAAAAAATTTTCAAATTATTTTGAACATAATCTAAGTGACCAACTCCAAATGGATATTGAGAATTGATTATAAATCTATGTAAAAGGATCATTATATTAGAAATATTCCTAACAATGTAGGAAGTTAGAAAGTATGTCCTATTTATAAGAATCCAGACACCACAAAGTTAAGAAATAGTATTAGCGACAATGTAGTACTCTTGAATAACTATGATTAATCGAATTTTTGGTTGAAAAGAAATACTACCTAATTTGAAAGGCTTATACTTGTTGATTATTTGTATAAATTAGAATAATAATAAAGGGGTTTAGACAAAGGATCAGCCCTACCATGTTGGCAATTAAAAATAAAATTTTCTTGTTGAAATTTATATGCTATGAGAAGAAAATATACACACTCAAAGAACAAAATTTTAATCTCACAAAATATTTGTATTAAAAAAACAAATAATACACTCAAAACTTTGGCTTTGTTGGTAGTCAAATTTTACAAAACACACAACACTCAACTATAGAACTCGTTGGAGTTCTCTCTATTTTTTCTTTGTATGCTCCCTCTGGTACACAGATAGCTTACAAGCCTTTCCTATTTATAATACAATGATTAGGTTGTCTGCTTTCTAATATTGTGTGTCCAGCTTGCAATCTGTGTGCAATTTACCAGCTCTAATACAACCAGCGATTTGACTTTTCAAAGCAATTTTTGTAGGCTAATTATACAGCTAATAGATTGACATATTAAGTGATTATAGACACAACTCATATACAAACATAATCTAACATAATGTAACCAGCAATTTTGACTATTCAACGTAATAATTACTAGACTACTTTAATACTAGAAACTAATGAAATACAACTCATTCATCAAAAGTAAGTTGCAATTTTTTACTCCTTAAGGCAAAGCTAATTACCTCCAACACCTCCTAACAAATCAAAAGTGGTCAAGTTTATTTTCCAACATCCTCCTTTAAACTTGACTCATCATTCTGAGCATATTCGTCAATTTCAAGAATGAATTTGCTTTGAGTGACTTTGTGAAAATATCTGCTACTTGATTTTCAAAAGTGCAATATTTCACTACAATTTCTTTGTCTTTGATCAATTCATGAATGTAGTGATGCTTGATGTCAATATGCTTGCTTCGTCCATGAAAGACTGGATTCTTTGTTAAAACAATTGTTGATTTGCTATCACAAAATATCTTTGTTGGACTATCTTGTTAGTGTTGCAAGTCATTCAATAATCTCTATTACCAAATTGCTTGAGTAGCACAATTTGTTGCTGCAATATACTATGCTTCTGTTGTTAACAAAGCAACTACTTGTTGTTTCTTGGAGGACCAAGAAAATACATCAGTACCTAGATGAAAAACATAACCTGAAGTGTTTTTTTGAGTTTCAGTTTCACCAGCCCAATCACTGTCTGTGTATCCAATTAACTCTGACTTGTTAGAATTTGAATAAAAGATATCTTTATCAGTTGTACATTTGACATACCTCAAAATTTGTTTTACAGCTTGCAAATGGAATTGTCTTGGTGTTTTCATGAACCTGCTTATGAGCCCAACTCCATAAACTATATCAGGTCTTATTGTTGTCAAGTACCTGAGACTTTCCACTAACATTCTGAAATTTGTTGAATTGATAAGATCACTACCACTTTCTTTTCTAAGCTTCAATCTTTCTTCAACAAGTGTCAGCATTGTGTTGCAAGCCTCCATCTTGAATTTCTTCAAAATATCTATTGCATATTTCTTCTGAGAGATAAAGATCCCTTTATTTGTTTGTTTCACTTCAATGCCTAGAAAATAAGACATTAAGCCCATATCTATCATCTCAAATTAGGTGGACATATTTTCTTTGAATTCAACAAATAATTTTGGATTACTATCAGTAAAGATCAAATCATCCACGTACAGACAAATGATAATAATATCTCCAGTCTTGTTTGTTTTGACATATAAAGCATGTTCATATGGACTTCTGTGAAATCCATTATTCATGAAGTATGTGTCAATGCGTGTGTAACAAGCTCGAGATGCTTGTTTCAATCTATACAATGCTTTCTTCAAAATGTAGATCTTGTCTTCTTTTTCTTGTTGTAGATACTCAGGTGGTTGCTCTACATAAACTTCTTCTTCAAGTATACCATTAAAGAAAGCAGGCTTGACATCCATTTGAAAAATCTTCCATTTGTTTTGGGCTGCAAGAGAAAGAATCATACGTATTGTGTCCAATCTAGAAATTGGAGCAAATACTTCAAAATAATCAATGCCAGGTTTTTGTTTGTACCCTTTTGCCACTAATCGTGCTTTGAAACGATTAATCTTTCCATTTGGATTGTACTTTGTTTTGTACACCCATTTGACACCAATTGGCTTCTTTCCTTCTGGAAGTGTTAATAACTCCCACATGTCATTCTTCTCGATTGCATGAATCTCTTCGTCCATTGCTTTAATCCAGCAATCATCATTGGCTGCTTCTTCATATGTCATTGGATCATAATATGCAAATAGGGCATAGTAGGCAATGTCTTCTTCCCTGTCCTCTGGATCATCATCTCTACCAACTTCATAATCTTGCAAGTGAGGAGGTAGACGCCGCTCCCTTTGTGGATATCTATAACGTGGTGAATCTAATGTTAATTCATCGGATGATTTATTAGCTTTATCATCAAATTTTTCATTTATAGTTACTGGTAAAGGAAACAACTCTTTTTTTTTTACCTGTCCCACACTCTATCTTCATCAAAGGTAACAATTCGGTTGATGATTACCTTTTAGGTTTCTGGATTATATGATGAATCCACATTTTACTGGATTTTTACTTATCTTTTTAGTGTTCTTTAATAGAAAAAATAGACTTAAGAAGTGTAAATAACATAGAAACATCATTTTGGTCAAATATTATAGGTTTCTTAATTTTTGGTTAAATTACATTGATTTACATAGATATAATTTACAATTTTTATCATTTGAATAATTGTGCAAGAATTTCTAGACTTATTCCATGGATTTTTAGCATTTGAGAAAGTTTGAGTTGAAAGTGACCACTTTGGATTCCATAGTGGACACTACAGCAAGCTAGATCCAGAAGGATAGACTAAAGTGATCACTCTGATCCCATAATAGACACTATAGAGACCCTAGTTTGAAGAGGTGTTCCGCGTAGCTACTTTGGTCCCGTAGTAGACACTTCAGGGCAGACTAGAGTGATCACTCTGATTCTAAAGTAAACACTCCAGAGAAGGTCAAAGTCACTCAGACCTGCGCGTAACTACTATGACTCATAGTAAAAACTCCAGAGAGGGTCAACAACATGGTGACCTGCGCGTAATCACTATGAAATCATAATAGCTACTATGTGAGTGTTGCGCGTCATCACTATGAACCATAGTAATTACTATGGGCAAAAATCTCTGCACTATAAATAGAATTTTGAAAATTATGGTAAAGAGCTTTTACACACTTTTAACTTCTTTTTCCATTTTGGGGAACACTTGCAAAGCTTAGGTCATCCTTGGGTGACAGCTAAGGACCAATCCTAGGGTTTGATTCACATTTCTTCTTCACTTTCCTTTAATTTTTACATTGATGTCATTGATTTCCTTTTGTTTTCATCTTAAATTTGTACGACTCATTCTCATAGAGGGCTAAACTT